CTTAATAATAATAATAATAATAATAAGTTTAAATAGGATTTCAGTAAGTTGGCTTTCACAAGCCAACTTAATAAGTTTAAATACAACATCAGTAAGTTGGCTCTCACAAGCCAACTTAATAATAAGTTTAAATAGGATTTCAGTAAGTTGGCTTTCACAAGCCAACTTAATTAATGAAGTTTTCTTACAGCACACATTGTCAGTCTTTTATGCTTTTGTGTTAATTTTGTTTTACTGTATTGTAATTTTCAATATTCACAGTGGGAGGAATATGGAGGATGTTGATAGGAGTGTAACGGTACATGTATTCGTCCTGAATCGTTCGGTACGGACGTCACGGATCAGTGCATGCAGTCGAACGACGAATACATTCAGTCACAGGCGATCCACACTCCGATCCAGAAGGGGGGCGCGCGGCAATGCAACGCTGTTTGCTAACAGTAAAAAGCACAGAAGAAGAGACGATCGCTCTATATATTCACATCTCTAATCCAGTGTTTCAACTGTGGAAAGATATCAATAAAACATCTTGAGAATAATATCTCACGTAGCATTACATTAACCTCAGGCATTTAGTGTTGACAGCAGGTTCCAGCAGTTCGCTAGAGAAATTAACTCTAGAGAGAAGCATTTTGTATATGCACTATATTAGCCAATTCATTATATTTACTTAACCTGTTAGTAGTGATTTGATTATTTAATGTACGTTTAAATAAATTTGTCATGAAAACAAGTTATGTTTAAAACAAACCACTGTGTAAATTATTATATTTCAAAAATGAATTGGAGTAGAAAATTAACTTTATAATTATATTTAGAAGTTAAAGTCGGCATGAAACGGAAGTTGAGATTGTCATTTTTTCCTTGTTGTGACGTATATCCGAGTGAAACGGCTTCTGAAATTAGAAAAAATGTAGGGCGGAGCTTGATTTCGTCTTTTGGGAATTGATTGGATCGTTAGAGGTTGGGCGTTGCAAACAAAATGGAGGCAGATTTGAATGCCAGTTTACATTCAGTTGTGGAGGATTTCTCTCCACCGGACTCACCACCGTTACCCTTCCATGAAGGATTTTTTATTGAGGAGCCCGGCGACGAGAACGAGGACGAGCAGCTAAATTTTCGGGCAGGAATCAGCCCATATTTATACGATCCTCCCGTGAACCAAGATGAGTGACAGGTTCTCTGAGAGGCGGTGCACCGACAGCTGCACCCTCATCGGTTCTGGCCGCACCCTTTCGCCATGGCATGTGACCAGAAGAGAAGAGAGGTCGTTTCGAGGGGGGAGGGAAGGGTAATGTATTTGATTAAAGATTATAAGGGTACATGAATTTAAAAAAAATAATGAAGTGCACAGATAAATCATTTATAATAAACACTACAATATTACATATAAAAAGAAGATTTGTCAAATTTGATTTCATGCCGACTTTAATGCAGAACCTGCCTTATTTGCAATTTACATGGTTTTTATTATTTGAGTGTTGATTATTATATTTAAAAATAAATAGCAACTGAATTTAATAATTTGAGCTCTGTTGTTAGTTGTAAAATGTAATATTATAGGTAAGGGATAATGTATAGCGAGGCGGTGGTTATAACGAATACCACCCCGACAGGCTGACTAGGAGCCCGACGCGAAGCGGAGCCTGAAGGGGTGGTATTCGCTATAACAACCGCCTCGCTATACATTATCCCGCTTATTACATGGCTACCTACCAAATAAATCAATAATTTGACTCAAAATATTGATTTAAAAAGGAGTTTATTGATTTAAAAACGATTGTATTGCTTCCACTAAAGAAAAGAGTCCGTTCCGTCTCTGAACTGCGTCCATGGCAACGCTCTGTTTTTCATGGCAACGCTCTGTTTTTCATGGCAATGCTCTGTTATACTAAGCAGCGTCTGTTATCAAGAAATAACAGACCGCAATCTACATTGTAATTCTACTTAGCCATGTAATAATAATAATGTGTAATGAAGGGACTAAATATCGATCTGTTGATATATCGTTGTTCTTCTCCGTGCAATACAATAATCGATACGCTGGCGCCAAATATTGATATTTAAATTAATAAAATAAGGCTCTAAATAGATTTCCCTGCTCCCAGCGTTAGTCAAGTCAAGTCAAGTCAAATATATTTATATAGCGCTTTTCACAATACAGATTGTATCAAAGCTGCTTCACAGTATCGTTAGCAGTTAGCTGTGCCATTTCAAACCGGTTGAAAGACATAGGGGGTTTGATTTATAGTTACCAATTTTAACATATTGAGAGCGGAGTGAGAGATAGGATTTGATAAGATTGACCAACTCTGAAGAAAAATTTAATTTCAATAATTTATACAATAGGATGTTATGATTAACCGTGTCAAATGCTTTCTTTAAGTCAAGGAACACTGCCCCTACAACCCTGCCTTTATCCAGTGATGCCTTAACTTTTTCTATGAAGTAACATGTAGCTGTTTCTGTCGCGTAATTAGCCCTGAATCCAAATTGCATTGGATGCAGTGGAAAGGAACTATTGTTGAGATAGTCAATGATTTGTTTGTTAATCAGTTTTTCAGAATTTTTCGATACTATAGGTACAACACTGATGGGCCTGTAGTTGGAAGTCAGTAGAGGGTCACCGCATTTGAAAATAGGGGTCACGACAGCAGGTTTCCATGAATTAGGAAACCTTCCTTGAGCCAGTGAAATATTGATTATGTGTGTTAGTGGGTAACTATTGAAGAATTAATCTCTTTCAGCATAAGTGTATCCATACCATAGACATCCTTAGCCCTTGAGGATTTGAGAGATGTGACTACTTTTACAACCTCATCCTCTGATACTGGTCTTAGTGTTAATGCTGGCTCCCTAATATTAGCTGGAAGTGCATTGTTTTGTTGTACTGCAAAACATTGGGCAATACTATCTACTGACTCAACAAAGTATTGATTAAAGGCCTGTGCCACATCAGTCGGACTCTTCAAGATTGTGTAATTTGCTTTTAGTACAATTGGCTTAGTTATACTAATGTTTTGACCGGTTAATTTTTTTATCTGACTCCATATGGCTTTTGAGTTACCATTTGAATTTTCAGCAATTATAATGAAAAAGTCCGCCTTTGCTTTTCTCAGTTCTCTAGTTACTGTGTTTCTTAGCCTAACGAAGTTATACCCATCAATGGACATCTTTGATTTTATGGATTTTTTTAAAGCATTGTCCCGCTCCTTCATTAATTTTAGAACTTTCTCATTCATCCAGGGAAGACTCTGTTTCTTGTTTTTACATTTAATTCTAATTGAAAATTCGTGGATTGTAGATTGCAATTTTTCTGTAAAGATTTGACTGGTCATTTCTAAATCATTTTCAGGAAGTAACTCATCCCATTTTATATTTTTTATGGCTGCCTTGAAGTCATCTTGTTTGTTTTTCGGTATGCCAAAGAATTCCTTATTGCCAGCGTTCATAACCCGCTTGCAAGTGAGTTTTCTTGATATAAGCACCATATTATGATCTGATAGCCCAGTTATCATATTAAATGATTTTGTGATCCTTTCCGGTCTATTACTGAATATAAGGTCAATTTGAGTACTGGTGCTGTTTGTTATTCTTGTTGGACCTTTAACCAGTTGAACCAGATTAAAACCATCAGAAATTAGCTTGAGCTTCATTCTTGAGGACTTATCTTCCCAGTTTAAGTTGAAGTCACCCATTATGATTATTTCTTTCTTAAAATCAAATTGACATAATAAAGTCTTAAGTTTTTTATAAAAGCTAATGTTTGAGGAAGGTGGTCGATAAATTACCACAATGGTGTAGGACATCTGAGGCGAGATAATCATATTCAAGGCTACACATTCTAGACCACTTGGATTTTGCAATTGAATCTCATTGCAATGGATTTTGCAATTGAATCTCATTGCAATGGATGGTATTTCTTACAAATATCATAACTCCACCCCCTTTTGCATCAGTTCGGTCTCTCCGGTAAATATAACCAGGAACTATTAGAGCAGCGGACGGAGAGTTATCTTGAAGCCAAGTTTCCGTTAAACAGAGGAAGTCTAAATTAGACTCTAGTAATATATGATTTATTTGATCACTTTTGGATTTTAAGCTCTGTATGTTTTGGTGGCCGCCTAATATGCCTTTTGGCTTAGCTTTCGGATCCCAGATAATCCTCAAGTTGTTTACAGTTGAAAAAACTTTCCACTACCGGTTCTTACGGATGGCTCTGTTTACTTCCCCACGCTTGTTTTTCTTGTACACATGTTTGTCTGGTGAATTCCTGCGGTGCTGGTTACTCGGTTGGACATTGAATGTACTCACGAGCGTATGGTCACCGCCGGTATTGCTCCTGGGGAGGGCTGGAGATGTACTCAGTACAGCAAGTCTCCCCGGTGATGATGGCTTTACCGCCGGTGAGTTAAATGGTGCACGACCCTCCATCGGGAACCGGACGGCTGTCATGTCCTCCGGTGTGTTCTGATGGCCAGGATTGGAATACTGGAAGAGGGTAGCGCTGAGCCACTAGAGCTCACGCGATTCCTCTAGAGCCACGCGTAACCATATTCAGCACATACACGAATGTGTGATAGCCGAAGCAAGCAAATGCCCATCGCGTATTCACTTCAACACAGAGAAAATAACGGCTTCAGAATCAGCTTTATTCGCCAACTGTGCGGAGTTTAGCAGTGTTTATTATGGGATTTGACAGTTTGATTAATAGATTAAGTGCTCAAATGGATCATATATAAGCAAGTCTTTAGAGGGTTTTTACTTTTAGACTAGTCAGTTACAAAACTTGAATTTATTTAAACACATATACACATTTGTTTAAAAGAAAAAACTGTTTAATAAAAAAAAAAAAGAGAAAAGCAATTTCGCATTTAGTTTACTCCCCCCTGCTGTACCGAACCCGTACCGAACCGTGACTTCAATACTGAGGTATGTACCGAACCGTCATGTTGGTGTACCGTTACACCCCTAATGTTGACACATTTATACAATCTTACCTCAGTAGCTCCAGTTTACAGTGAGGATCCTTCAGTCCATCAGAGAGCAGCTTCACTCCGCTGTTTCCTAGTTTATTCTCAGTCAGATCCAGTATTCTCAGGTGTGAGGGGTTTGATCTCAGCGCTGAAGCCAGAGCAACACAACCTTCATCTGTAACACCACAACACTTCAACCTGTAGAGAACAATGACACTCTTCAGTCTCTCAGTTCAGGATCAGATAATAATCCCTCATGGCCTCCTAATAATCCCCATATATATACTGATTGGCTTCATCACTCTGTCTCCTCTCCACCAGTAAGCTGGTGTGTGTTGGGCGTTCTGGCGCAATATGGCTGCCGTCGCATCATCCAGGTGATGCTGCACATTGGTGGTGGTTAAGGAGATTCCTCCCCTTCTATGTAAAGCGCTTTGAGTGTCCAGAAAAGCGCTATATAAATGTAATGAATTATTATTATTATTATTATAAGCAGGAACTTCACAATCAGAAACAGAGACTTAATCCATGACATGATTGACAGGTCCAGTCTAAGGTTCAGACCTGCTTCTACATGCTGCTTCAGGGGGTTCATTTCAATATCATAAAAAATGTCAATCATTTAACTCATGTTTTCATCATAATGATAAGTACAATTATGTCACTTTTAAAATAAATAAATTAATTAATTAATTTTGTTTTACTGTTTTGTAATTTTCAATATTCACAGTGGGAGGAATATGGAGGATGTTGATAGGAGTGTAACGGTACATGTATTCGTCCTGAATCGTTCGGTACGGACGTCACGGATCAGTGCATGCAGTCGAACGACGAATACATTCAGTCACAGGCGATCCACACTCCGATCCAGAAGGGGGCGCGCGGCAATGCAACGCTGTTTGCTAACAGTAAAAAGCACAGAAGAAGAGACGATCGCTCTATATATTCACATCTCTAATCCAGTGTTTCAACTGTGGAAAGATATCAAAACATCTTGAGAATAATATCTCACGTAGCATTACATTAACCTCAGGCATTTAGTGTTGACAGCAGGTTCCAGCAGTTCGCTAGAGAAATTAACTCTAGAGAGAAGCATTTTGTATATGCACTATATTAGCCAATTCATTATATTTACTTAACCTGTTAGTAGTGTTTTGATTATTTAATGTTTGTTTAAATAAATTTGTCATGAAAACAAGTTATGTTTAAAACAAATTATTATATTTCAAAATTGAATTGGAGTAGAAAATTAACTTTATAATTATATTTAGAAGTTAATGCAGAACCTGCCTTATTTGCAATTTACATGGTTTTTATTATTTGAGCATTGATTATTAATTTTAAAAATGAATAGCAACTGAATTTAATAATTTGAGCTCTGTTGTTAGTTGTAAAATTTAATATTATAGTAATGTGTAATGAAGGGTTCCTTATAACAGTGGGACTAAATATCGATCTGGTGATATATCGTTGTTCTTTTCCGTGCAATACGATAATCGATATGCTGGTGCCAAATATTGATATTTAAATTAATAAAATAAGGGTCTAAATAGATTTCCCTGCTCCCAGCGTTATCCGTGCCATTTCAAACTGGCATAATAGAGCCGGCTCTTTTGACTCACAAACGGCTCTTTAAAAAAATAATGTTTTGACTATGACGTGTGAAAACAATTCTAATTAAATTATTAAATGAAATCATACTCACAATGTCTCACAATTTCTTGAAAAATGCATTGATTTGTTATGAAAAATATTTAAATTACAACTTTTTAATGTATAGAAACAACATTCAAAACAAATACAATCTGAATCTGAACAACATAATAGAACCCATATTAAAGAAAAATAAATAACTGAAAGGATTGAACTGGTCCCTCTTTCTCTCTCTTCTTTATTGGCATGTTATAACCAGCAGAACTATCTCACTATGTTTTGTATAACACGCACGCACGCACACACACACACACGCACACACACACACACACACACACACACACACACACAATGGCTCGGCCCCTCCCTCATGCCGTATAATTGGTTGACAGACACCTCGTGTATGATTGACAGGAACAGAATGTGAAGCTGATCAGACAGTCGAAACGAATGTGTGCGCCTTTAGGCCTATATAACATTTTTGTTCTTTGAATTAGTCAATCATTTTAAATAAAATTAAGTTCATTCATTATTTCATTATTACATAATGATTTAATTTATATAGGCTATATTTTAAAAAATAGAGTCGGCTCTTCAGATATGCGAGCCAGCTCCCGTCATACTCATTCGCGAACGACCCATCACTAAATACGATAATCGATACGCTGGCGCCAAATATTGATATTTAAATTAATAAAATAAGGCTCTAAATAGATTTCCCTGCTCCCAGCGTTAGCTGTGCCATTTCAAACTGGCATAATTCCTCTAGAGCCACGCGTAACCATATTCAGCACATCCACGAATGTGTGATAGCCGAAGCAAGCAAATGCCCATCGCGTATTCACTTCAACACAGAGAAAAAAACAAATGGATCATATATATGCAAGTCTTTAGAGGGTTTTTACTTTTAGACTTGTCAGTTACAAAACTTGCAAATAGACATCTTCACCGAGCGCTTACACAGATACACACGGCAGCGTTTAAAAGCATGCGTCTATCAGTGGATTCGTCTATATAATTTACTTAAAATGTTTAATTTAATTTACAGACTGAAAACCATTTTGTGCTATTTCTAACAGTTTGGACTTTAACAAAGAGAGAAAACCTGCACTTAACCCTCTGGGGTCTGAGGTATTTTTGGGGCCCTTGAGATGTTTTGACATGCCCTGACATTTGTGCTTATTTCAGCTACTTAAAACATACCATTTGCCAACATATAAATTTGCTGTATTCAGCACAAACTCTGCTACAATAATATGTGAGCAAACTGGATGTACATGTTTGCATTTTATAGGAAAAAAAAATATTATGCGTGGTTAGTACGTTTTGGGGGAAAAAATGTCACCGCAATAAGGCCATTTAACACATACTGAATAGTTGTCCACAAGACTTTTGAGTTACTATTCTTGTAGGCTAGAATTTTTACTGCAAAATGAAGTGAAAATCATTCTACCCACTCTTTCACAAACAATAATATAACGATTTAAATTTCTTACGTCAGTTTTTGGTCAGCACTGCTGTATGCGTGGTATGTGTGAATGGCCATGAATATTAATGTGATTTACACCTGGGAAGACTAAAGACACTCCCCTAATGGCCCAAGGTGCTGTGAGGCAGCCTGAACTAAGAATGATTCACTGATGAATAAAAAGTTAAAAAGAACAGCATTTATTCAAAATAGAATTTACGTTCTTTCCTAAGAATGTAAAGACTTAAAGTCATTACTATCACTTAACACATCCTTTCAAAAAAACAAACATAAAAAGACCAAACTTAAATAAACAAAATATTTTTATTCAAAGAATCCTAAAAAAAACTATCACAGGTTTAAAAAACTGTTTAACAACTGTTTCCAACATTGATTTAAAAAAAAAAATCATATCAGAATGATTTCTGAAGGCTGATGCAGCAGAGCACACACAATCAAAGAAACTGTATTATTATCATTATCAATCACTAATTACCATGGATTAAAAAAGACATTTGTAATTTCACACAAGAATATGAACTTTTACATTATGACGATGTAAACACAATTAGGCTACATTTAATCTGTAAAATATTACGTCTATGCACTTACTCAGTATAATTCTCGATCGCACTGAGAACTGAACGACACCTGCGTGTCCCTCTGCGAGGTGCTGGAGAAGGAGAGCTGCATGATGCAGCCACATTCCTAAAAAACAAAACAAAATAACTGTTAGCATACATTATGTATATAACAGAGTATCTGTTTATGGCCCATATAGAACGCACGCATTTATGATAGGCTATACTCAATGAACGGATCGTTCGCGAACGACACATCACTACGTTTCAAACATTTACACCTGTATTCACAAACAGTGCACAAGGCAGTAAGCATGATAATTAGTGTCATAGGCTAACCAAAACTGAACATTTGCGAGTATCTATGGCCCATATAGACAGAACGCATTTAGGGATAGGCTACACAATGAACGGATTGTTTGCGAAAGAACGACACATCACTAAGTTACATTTCAAACATTTACACCTGTATTCACAAACAAGTATTTACGCATGATAAAGTATCATAGGCTAGCCAAAACTGAACATTTATATATAACATATATTGTATTTAGACAGTATCACGTATTTTACCGGAGTCTGAAATTATTTCTCTCATATAACCTAAGCAGTTCGCGAACAAAATGCATTACACATAAGGCAGTAGGCTTTTTAGCATGATAATCAGTGTCATAAACTAATCCAAACTGAGTGGAAAATATGTATGCTAATATACAAATATGTTTAGAGAATATCACATTAAAAAAGTTTACACGAGCGTACAATGTTAGGATATTGTGAAGCAATATTTCCTATGTCAAAAGCTAGCCAAAACTAGGCAAAATATAGTCTGAAAATTCATTTGAGCTCTATATGATCAGAAAAGGAATTATAACACTAAACAACTTACTCCGAGCTTGTATCCTCCGCGGGATCAATTCGTTCTTGAAATTGCAGCCGTTCGTCGTCCGAGTCGCAATCTTCCTCTGAAGAAAAGGTGAACTGTTCCTCGCTGTCCAGAATCATCTGAAGGGCCTCTTTCTCGGAGTAGCGTGCTGCCATCCTCGAAACTCGATGAACTATCAGTGAATCTGATGAAGAAACTTCGTGTTGTTATGGCATTGATCGGGGGGCGTGCCGCGTGTGCGATGCATAGATCACCTATTTACCATGTGAAAAGCTCTTGGGGCGTGGCGATCTCAGCTCATTACAGATAATGAAGGGAGAACGAAAAAACTGTACCTCTCCTTAGTTTCAAACGGATTACATAAACTGGAAATATTTTTTTTTTTTAGTAAATTACTTCATTTAAAAGAAGAGAATTTCAGCTTCATACAGAGAAATCTCTCGTATCTCTGTGACAAGTATTGACAGAGTTACAGTTCATTTTTCGGACGCGTTTCAGAATGGACTTCACTGACAGAGAGAAGGCAAAACGCGCATCATGTTTATTTTTCTTTATTTGACGAAAAGCACAACACTTTGTTTTTATTGTGAGTACCCACAAAAAAAATAGACACTTAACAGGATCTAATGATGTACAACACTTATATGTAAGATCAAAATCAACAGAGTAATTTGAGTCTCTTTTGCACTGATAAACCGCGAGACCGCCGACCCCAGAGGGTTAACCTTCTCACAGCCATGTGTCGTGTATCGTATCGTATCGTGAGGAACCCCGTGATTCCCACCGCTAGCACCTTATATAGTTTACAGCATTAGCTAAGATTGATTTTTTTATTATAATAGAATTTATTTAAACACATATACACATTTGTTGAAAAGAAAAACTGTTTAATAAAAAAAGAGAAAGCAATTTCATGTTTAGTTTACTCCCCCCTGCTGTACCGAACCCGTACCGAACTGTCATGTTTGTGTACCGTTACACCCCTATTGTTGACACATTTATACAATCTTACCACAGTTTCTCCAGTTTACAGTGAGGATCCTTCATTCCATCAGAGAGCAGCTTCAATCCTTTGTCTCCTAGTTTATTAAATGTCAGATCCAGTTCTCTCAGGTGTGAGGGGTTTGATCTCAGCGCTGAAGCCAGAGCAACACAATCTTCATCTGTAACACCACACTTCCTCAACCTGTAGAGAACAATGACACTCTTCAGTCTCTCAGTTCAGGATCAGATAATCAGGAACTTCACAATCAGAAACAGAGACTTAATCCATGACATGATTGACAGGTCCAGTCTGAACCATGAAGTCTTCATAATTTCTCCAGCACTGTACCGCAACTGTCCGCTGACTTGCACACACCTAGAGACGTTTATAGTTGACCCGCTTGCCAACGTACTATTTTTTTAAATGGCACAGTTTGGGCAAAATTGTCACAGTTATGTTCTGTTAAATACATTTTCATGGACTTTTAATTTCTTTATCTTCAGTCACATGTTTCCTTTGTTCTAGTTTCCCGCCACTCATGAGTTGCTATGGTTACTGATATGATTAATCATTCTGTTCAGCTGTGTGTCATTAATTACCCTCGTTTGCCTTACTATTTAAGTTGCTGTGTTTACACTTCTCATTAACCTGACTCCGCCAGATGGATTTGCTCCGCATATCCATCTGGAAACCTTCCGTTGAAGTAGTTTTGGTAAGGGGCGAAAATACTGGTTAGCTGATTGGCCTATGTTGGTGATAGACGGGCCAAATCAACCAATCAGATCAACGAAGCATATGACGTACTAACAGAGCGTATCTTTTCCTCTGAGAAAAGCCTCCAGAGCAGTGTTTTGCTCTTCTTTCAGTGAAGAAGTTCCGATAAAACTTGCTCGATAGCCACGCTGATGCTAGTTTCATCCGCTGAAGCCGACATGTTCTTTAGACTGAACTGACGCGCTTCTCGTTGCGTCACACCTCAACCCGCCTCAAAGCCAACGCTGATTGGACGTTCGTTTGGTGAACTGCTCCCAAATTTTCTTTAACGGAAAGTATCCAGACTGATCTGCGAGTGAAACCTTGAAAGCTCGCGAGATCAGGATGGTCTCACGAGGCTAACTTCTCATTGGTTTGGTCACATTAATGATAAGTTGTGTTTGTTCGCTTGCCTTTTGAATTGTTCGCTTGTATGGAATTTTTAAAGCCTTTTTTTAACATGATCTTTATCTTCCTATGCTTCCTACAACCTAAACGTGACAAAAATATTACTGATGACAAAGTGAAGCTTTCTATACCACCGAAGCTTTCAACACAATTGTATCGGAAAAAGGTTCATTACTTGAAGCTTTTCGAATCAGAGCTCAACGAGGACCTCTGCTGGTGAAAGTGAGGGAAAGCGCTGTCGCTAAATGTTTCACAGCCGACCAACGCATTAATCTTAGAAGCAAAAATTGATAAATGAAAGTAAGAATAATGAATTAATAAATCAATGTATTAACAGGGTTCATACAGACTCTGTCAAATGAAATTCCAGGACTTTCAAGGACTTTTCAAGCACTACTTTTTTTGGATTTCAAGGACTTCAATCATCACTTATCAAACAATATCTTTATTATTATTTTTATTTATTTATTTCATTTTATTTTTTTACTCAAATTAAATGTATATGGTATCTGATGTTTCACTTCATAGAGGTCAATCCATTGACCAGCGCTGTCAGGCATGGGAAATCCCCTTAACCATTGAAAGGATATTGAAACTGATTTTTTTTTCCATTAATATATATGATTGACCTGAAAAATGAAAGTTGTATTATATACTTATCATATACTTAATATCATGCTCATAGCCATGAGAAATAGCTCTATATCTCAGACGGGCTGCAGCGTTGATTTAGCATGAAACACCTGTATTTAAAAAAATAAAAAAAATAAAAATCACAATATTTTGAATTAGGGATGCACCGATACCACTTTTTGCAGAACAAGATACCGATACCGTAACCGATCCCTGAATTTTGACACCATTTGTAAATTTTTAAACGTATTAGTAGATAAACCCGAAGAATATAAATCATATTAGTTGGCTTAATTTGTTCATCAAATATATATTTCTTGCAATTATTTTCATGCTTAATTAAGCCTGCTAAAATGCATTGTATGAGCTTCTGTAACTGTGCATTCTATTGCGCTATCATATTTTATCTTTCACTGAATAGCACAGCACATATTTAGACTAGAGCCGCTCCAGAAGGGTCAGTGCTGAGGATTGGGTCAGTGGTACAAATGTTTAGACACCAGTGAAATATCTATTATTTAATCCAATTTTGATACTACAACAAAAAACTGCCAGCCTAATTAATGTGAATTTAAAACATTATTAAAGGTAAGCAGTCAGCAACAAAATAAGAATGAATAATCAACTTACAAATAAATAAAATAATTTGTAAATCTTCTAGTAGCTGTGCCAAGACAAATCTGAATCACCTAATTCCTCAAATACGTTGTTGAAATATTTTGTCCTGTTGCTTTTATGGACTCTCTATCTATGGGCTTCTCCTTGACTTTATGCCTCTATGTCCCCCCGATTGCCTCATAGACATTAAAAGATTGCCTGCGAGCTTCTCCTCCTGTCTATACGGTAGTTTCTCGAAAGTGCGACAGATAGTCGCGTGGTTATGACGCAATCGTTAGCCTATTTTTACAAAAACGGCTTCTACGGGGCCATAATGTAAGATACAAAGTAATGGAGCCTTTTATACATTGTCGTGTTTCTTTAGAAATAAATAATGGACAAATTAAGTTTTTGGGCGTCTCCGATGTGAAGTTATTTGCTGTCAAAGTGACGCCAAAATGAATGAGAGTCAATGTAATGCTAACAGCAGGTGAAGTTCTGCTACAATGGCGGCTCCCGCGAGGCTTCAGTTTTTGGCTGATGGATTACCCCCTTGGTTACCCCCCAAAAAATAATTCGCCACTAGATGGCGGACCAGAACATAGTCAAAGGATAATTTAAGAAATTAATTGATGACTAATGCAACTAGAGTTGCCTGTGACAGACTGTTACAGTGTGTTTTGTAACTGGTAGTGAGCTGTTACTCTGTTAAATCTTGTAGTAGGACAGTCGTTAACAAAAAGACACATTTGTGTCACATATATAAAAGTCACATATCTTAGCAGAAAGTTGAAAAAGTTGCGTTTACTTCACACAAGAGCAGCCATTTTCCCGTTGACATGGTAACGTTATGAAGTGACTTAATTATGCGACGTGAACATCATCGAAAAGCTGTAAAACAGGAAGCACACATTTTATTTATTCATTTTTACAGAAGTTGTAGCATATTCCTTTTGTAAAGTTACAGAACTTGTTTGACTCAATGTTTTGTAAGTTTGAGCCATGTGTTTATTAAAGGTGCCCTAGAATGGGGTTATTTTATTATTTTATAATGTTTCCTGGGTTGCCCTTATAATGTTAGTATGTTTTTTAGATCAAAAATAGTCATAATTTAGAAATAAAAGGCATTTTTCCTAGCCTGATTTTAGCCTCTGATTTGAACTCTCTGTTTGAAGGGGCGTGTCTTCTGTGAGACTTCAGTGTAACTGGCCACTGCGGTGATTGGCTGACATGCTTGCATATTAAATAGCTATGTATTACATGTGAAACTCTCGAATACTTTTGGTACAGCTATTAAACGTTTTTACTATTACAGCTATCGAGATTAACGAATCGTGAGATGTTTATAAAGTATTTAAATCTATTTCCATCACATAAAATGTTGTCGTGATGAGCATTGAGCAGATGACAGTCTGTTGATCGCGAGACAACGCAGTTTCTGCACTCTCTCTAATGCTTTCACCAATGCAAACACGATGATGTACATACAGTAAGAGCTTCGTGGTGCAGTGTAACAGCGTCATTGATTTCATGAGTTTGGCAAGTGTCCAGATAAACTTGCGCTGTGTGGAAAGATTGCTCTTTGATCGCTTTCTGTATATAATTTATTCACTGAGAGAAGCCTGCTTGATATTGTCCCAGGTTAGAAAATTAGTCCGTGGTGAAATGGGCAGAGCAAACTAACAACTTCGAATTAGACTATTGCGGTATCCGATTATAGATAAACATCAACCACGCCTGTTGACATTTCTTTTCTGTGGGAAGGGTATGAAAAGTCCTCACATCCCCTGCACAGCCTGGAACATAGCATTTATCTGCCATTTTCCCAATGATCCTCGCTTGTTTCTTCACCTGCAGAACTTCCGATGATTCGACTGCGCAGTGCCTGGCATTGAACATGGGCTGGCATATGCACATTTTTGGAGGTGTACATATTAATGATCCCGACTGTTGCATCACAGTCGGTGTTATGTGGAGATTCGCCTGTTTTTCAGGGGTGTTTTTCAAAAACGAGATTTAAATAAGAAAGAGCAAACAATGCTGTTTGAGACTCGCTGTATGTCATGTCCATGTACTGAACTCTTGTTATTTAACTATGCCAACATAAATTCAATTTCACATTCTAGGGCACCGTTAAGGTCTGAAATAAAACAAGATGAGAACTTAAATATTCCCTGCACTTTATGTGATGTGTTATGCTTGTTTATCAAAGGAAGTAATAAGAACTCTTTACATTAAAGTCCCTGTAAAGGCAATTCTAAAAAAAAATTCTAAACACATTATAAATGTTAGAAATGTATTGCTAAAACAAATTACAAAGACTGTGAACTGTGAAGTACTGAATTGTGGAGTTAGACCGTTAAAAAGTTTTTCACCATTGCTGTGTCCTGGATTTTTTGGGCGGGGCTACTTGATGACGCACTGGTGCCCCTGAGCTCCTGGACACGCCCCTACTTTATGACACACTGGAGTGCCTGAGCTCATGACACGCCCCTACTTGATGACACACTGGAGCCACTGAGCTCCTGGACACACCCCTACTTGATGACGCACTGGAGTGCCTGAGCTCCTGGACACGCCCCTACTTGATTACACACTGGAGTGCCTGAGCTCCTGGACACACCCCTACTTGATGACGCACTGGAGCCACTGAGCTCCTGGACACGCCCCTACTTGATGACACACTGGAGTGCCTGAGCTCCTGGACACGCCCCTACTTGATGACACACTGGAGCCACTGAGCTCCAGGACACGCCCCTACTTGATGACGCACTGAAGCCCCTGAGCTCGTGGACACGCCCCTACTTGATGACGCACTGGAGCCACTGAGTTCGTGGACACGCCCCTACTTGATGACGCACTGGAGCCACTGAGCTCCTGGACACGCCCCTACTTGATGACGCACTGGAGCCACTGAGCTCCTGGACACGCCCCTACTTGATGACGCACTGGAGTGCCTGAGCTCCTGGACACGCCCCTACTTGATGACGCACTGGAGTGCCTGAGCTCCTGGACACGCCCCTACTTGATGACGCACTGGAGCCACTGAGCTCCTGGACACGCCCCTACTTGATGACGCACTGGAGTGCCTGAGCTCCTGGACACGCCCCTACTTGATGACGCACTGGAGTGCCTGAGCTCCTTGACACGCCCCTACTTGATGACGCACTGGAGCCACTAAGCTCCTGGACACGCCCCTACTTGATGACACACTGGAGTGCCTGAGCTCCTGGACACGCCCCTACTTGATGACACACTGGAGCCACTGAGCTCCAGGACACGCCCCTACTTGATGACGCACTGGAGCCACTGAGCTCCTGGACACGCCCCTACTTGACGGACTGGAGTGCCTGAGCTCCTGGACACGCCCCTACTTGATGACGCACTGGAGTGCCTGAGCTCCTGGAGACGCCCCTACTTGATGACGCACTGGAGCCACTGAGCTCCTGGACACGCCCCTACTTGATGACGCACTGGAGCCACTGAGCTCCTGGACACGCCCCTACTAGATGACGCACTGGAGCCCCTGAGCTCCTGGACACGCTCCTACTTGATGACACACTGGAGCCACTGAGCTCCTGGACACGCCCCTACTTGATGACGCACTGGAGCCACTGAGGTCCTGGACACACCCCTACTTGACACACTGGAGCCCCTGAGCTCCTGGACACGCCCCTACTTGATGACACACTGGAGCCCCTGAGCTCCTGGACACGCCCCTACTTGATGACGCACTGGAGCCCCTGAGCTCCTGGACACGCCCCTACTTGATGACACACTGGAATGCCTGAGCTCCTGGACACGCCCCTACTTGATGAGACACTGGAGCCACTGAGCTCCTGGACACGCCCCAGTTGATGACGCACTGGAGCCACTGAGGCCTGCCCCTCCCCTAACAAGAACACATTCACATCAGTTTGCCCCTCAATCGCGAGTTACCGTCAGTACTTGACATATACTTAATTTTGAGTTTACAGGGACTTTAAGGTAGTAGTCTAGTGAGAACAGGGTGTTGGGGGAATCACTTTTTTTTTTCTCTTTTTCATCAAACCGCAGTTTTTGTAAGTTTGATGAAAGTTCTTGCTTTCAATTTTTGCAAGTTCCCGCAATTAGAAAGTCAAGAAAATATTTCCATTTTGCTGCCAGGAGTGGACGAGCTGCTGAAAGCTAAACTTCCGTCAACGAGCGCCGCCAAACAGACGGAGCGCAATAGAATAGGAGCGCAATAATTCTGACTAAAATATACATTAAAATGTAAAATTTTCTAAAATATTTGTTGTTGTTGGTGAACATAAATGTACTATATGTAGAATTTCAAACATACAAGTGTATTTTTATGATAGCAATTTTGTATTTATTTATTTTCATTATATGCACTGTTAAATCAGATACAATACATGTGTACAATAACAATTCTCGGGAAAAATAACATTAGGATGTCCAGAAATCAATTTCAATAGTACATTGGGTCATTTTGGGTACTTAATCCATGACATGATTGACAGGTCCAGTCTAAGGTTCAGACCTGCTTCTACATGCTGCTTCAGGGGGTTCATTTCAATATCATAAAAAATGTCATGATCTCATGTTTTCATCATAATGATAAGTACAATTATGTCACTTTTCCAAATCACTCGATATGTTCACATCTCTAATCCAGTGTTTCAACTGCAGAAAGATATCAATAAAACATCTTGAGAATAATATTACATTTACCTCAGGCATTTAGTGTTGACAGCAGGTTCCAGCAGTTCGCTAGTGAAATTAACTCTAGAGAGAAGCATTTCGAATATGCACTATATTAGCCAATTCATTATATTTACTTAACCTGTTAGTAGTGTTTTGATTATTTAATGTACGTTTAAATATATTTGTCATGAAAACAAGTTATGACAGCCACTGTGTCAATGATTATATTTCAAAAATGAATTTGAGTAGAAAATTAACTTCATAATTATATTTAGAAGTTAATGCAGAACCTGCTTTATTTGCAATTTACATGGTTTTTAATATTTGAGGGTTAATTATTATATTTAAAAATCAATAGCAACTGAATTTAATAATTTGAGCTCTGTTGTTAGTTGTAAAATGTAATATTATAGTAATGTGTAATGAAGGGCTTCTTATAGCAGTGGGACTAAATATCGATCTGGTGATATATCGTTGTTCTTCTCCGTGCGATACAATAATTGATACGCTGGCGCCAAATATTGTTATTTAAATTAATAAAATAAGGGTCTAAATAGATTAACCTGTTCCCAGCGTCGCTACTTCATGGCTCTTCACGGTAGCGCTAACACATGAATGAGGGAAATGTGAACATAAGTTAACTAGCCTATGAAAAAGAGGTTTTTAATAGGGATGTGCAAGACTAGTCGACTAAACCGTACAGCTGCTACTAGTCGACACTGAAAACTATAGATTACACAGAAAAAATACACAAGATTTAATCGTTCAAACTACTGTCAGTTTAATGTTTCTGTGAAGAGCAGCGCAAGCCGTGGAAACGGAGTGAGGCCGGTGGAGCAAATGTTAAAGCGATGGTTCACTTTTAATTTTCATAAAATGAAAATTTTATTTAATTGTCATTTTTGGGTGAACTATCCCTTTAATGAACGTCACTGAGCGCTGCACCGTCTGGAGTCCCAGGAGCTCTGAAGGATAAGCGGAGGAGTGACGACAGTGGAAGACGAGAGAAGACCAGGCCTGGACATTTACATTGTGTTTTGTCTATGTATGGGCGGCAGTCGACTATGAAGCTCCTGCCGTTTACTTTCGGTTTACTGACTTTAAAACTTCCGTTTATCGTTCTCCAGTTCCCCTTTTTCTTCCCTGCATTTATTTAAATTTATTTAAACACATGTACACATTTGTTTAAAAGAGAAAGCAATTTCGCGTTTAGTTTACTCCCCCCTGCTGTACCGAACCATGACTTCAATACCGAGGTATGTACCGAACCGTCATGTTTGTGTACCGTTACAACCCTAATGTTGACACATTTATACAATCTTACCTCAGTAGCTCCAGTTTACAGTGAGGATCCTTCAGTCCATCAGAGAGCAGCTTCACTCCTCTGTTTCCTAGTTTATTCTCAGTCAGATCCAGTTCTCTCAGGTGTGAGGGGTTTGATCTCAGCGCTGAAGCCAGAGCAACACAACCTTCATCTGTAACACCACAATCCCTCAACCTGTAGAGAACAATGACACTCTTCAGTCTATCAGTTCAGGCTCAGATATTTAGGAACTTCACAATCAGAAACAAAGACTTAATCCATGACATGATTGACAGGTCCAGTCTAAAGCATGAAGTCTTCATAATTTCTCCAGCACTGTACCGCAACTGTCCGCTGACTTGCACACACCTAGAGACGTTTATAGTTGACCCGCTTGCCAACATACTATTTTTTTAAATGGCACGGTTTGGGGAAAATTGTCACAGTTATGTTCTGTTAAATTCATTTTCATGGACTTTTAATTTGTTTATCTTCAGTCACATGTTTCCTTTGTTCTAGTTTCCCGCCACTCATGAGTTGCTATGGTTACTGATATGATTAATCATTCTGTTCAGCTGTGTATCATTAATTACCCTCGTCTGCCTTACTATTTAAGTTACTGTGTTTACACTTCTCATTGGTTTGGTCACATTAATGATAAGGTGTGTTTGTTCGCTTGCCTTTTGAATTGTTCGCTTGTATGGAATTTTAAAAGCCTTTTTTAACATGATCTTCATCTTTCTAAACGTGACTAGTGGTGGGCAGATTGAGGCTTCGTGAAGCAATGAAACAGTTGAACCAAATGTGCAATATTGTGTCGAGGCTTCGAATCAATCCCAGACCCGTCTCAACGGTGACATCTAGCGGTCGCTTGCAGGTGTTGATCTGAATCAACCTTGACAACGAGCCAAAAAAAAATGTTTTTTTTAAATGTTTTATTATTGTAGCTATTTTTCTAATATGTGAAGCTTGTAACTTGTAGGCTCCTCACTGTGCAGAATGTTATTTTCTCACTTTTTTGGAGATTCTTATTAAAAATATGAATTTCTCTTCTTTGGAAGTACTTAGCCTACATTTTTTTTTTTTTTACAGATAATTTCTCCAATCTTTGGAAAAATCCTCTCACAAAAACCCACTAGGTCAAGATGAGTTGACTTCACTTTTATACAGATGTGCGATTGTGTGGTCTGTTCCGACCCTGTCAATCAAACACTGAATCGGCGGAGCACGCCACCTGTCGAAACACTCATAAGCTTCATTTAGCCGTAGTCACGTGACATGGGTGTTTTGAATCACGCTTCGGATCAGTGTTTCGAAACATCAGCGCTTCGGGATCTCGCAAAGCTTCGGAACGACTGTTTCGCGTCAGCCATCCCTAAACGTGACAAAAATATTAGTGATGGCGAAGTGAAGCTTTCTGAACCACCGAAGCTTTCAACACAATTGTATCAGAAAAAGGTTCATTACTCGAAGCTTTTCAAATCAGAGCTCGACGAGGACCTCTGCTAGTGAAAGTGAGGGAAAGCGCTGTCGCTAAATGTTTCACAGCCGACCAACGCATTATTCTAAGAAGCAAAAATTGATGAATGAATGGATTAATAATTAATAAATCAATGTATTAACAGGGTTCGTACAGACTCTGTCAAATGAAATTTCAGGACTTTCAAGGACTTTTCAAGCACTACTTTTTTTGGATTTCAAGGACTTCAATCATCACTTATCAAACAATATCTTTATTATTTTTATTTATTTCATTTTATTTTTTTACTCAAATTAAATGTATATGGTATCTGATGTTTCACTTCATAGAGGTCAATCCATTGACCAGCGCTGTCAGGCATGGGAAATCCCCTTAACCATTGAAAGGATATTGAAACTGATTTTTTTTCCATTAATATATATGATTGACCTGAAGAATGAAAGTTGTATTATATACTTATCATATACTTAATATCATGCTCATAGCCATGAGAAATAGCTCTATATCTCAGACGGGCTGCAGCGTTGATTTAGCGTGAAACAATTGTATTTTTTCAACAAAAAAAAAAAAAAATCACAATATTTTGAATTAGGGATGCACCGATACCACTTTTTGCAGAACAAGATACCGATACCGTAAAATCCCTGAATTTTCACTGCATTTGTAATTTTTAAACGTATTAGTAGATAAACCCAAAGAATATAAATATAAATCCAATTTTGATACTACAACAAAAAACTGCCAGCCTAATTAATGTGAATTTAAAACATTATTAAAGGTAAGCAGTCAGCAACAAAATAAGAACGACTTACAAATAATTACAATAGAACAAGGAAAGGCTACAAATGAAATAAACAGTGTTTTTAGAGTTTTTCGGTAGATTCAATATTTTTCAATCCTGTAGTAGGACAGTCATTAACAAAAAGCCACATTTGTGTCACATATATAAAAGTCACATACCGGTATCTTAGCAGAAAGTTGAAAAAGTTGCGTTTACTTCACACAAGAGCAGCCATTTTCCCGTTGCCATGGGAACGTTATGAAGTGACTTAATTATGCGACGTGAATATAATCAAAAAGCTGTAAAACAGGAACCACACATTTTATTTATTCATTTTTACAGAAGTTGTAGCATATTCCTTTTGTAAAGCTACAGAACTTGTTTCACTCAATGTTTTGTAAGTTTGAGCCATGTGTTTATTAAGGTCTGAAATAAAAAAAGATGAGAACTTAAATATTCCCAGCACTTTCTGTGATGTGTTATGATTGTTTCTCATAGGAAGTAATAAGAAATTACCCTTTACATTAAGTTAGTCCAAAACGGTACTAAAAAGCTGCCATTGGGCGCATAATGCCCCCGAGGGATCGTAGGATGATCTGGGATGCCCAGAAAAGGATTATGCCTTTTTTAAATAACCCACTATATTGGGCAAATGTCCCGTTGACCCCCCCCCCCCCCCACTCCCCCCACTCCCAGGCCACGCCCCCATCCCACGTAACCACTATTTGTCCAATAACCCACTATGTTGAGCAAATGTTCCGTTGACCCCCCCCCCCCCGACTATTCCCGAGCCACGCCCCCATCCCACGGAACCACTATTTGACCAATAACCAACTATAGTTTTTAAATGTCAGGTTGACCTCCCCAATGACAACTCCCAAGCATCGCCCCCTTCCGACGAACCCACTTTTTGTTCGATAACCCGTAAAAAAGTTTTTTTCACAAAATCCCCACAAGTTTAAATTTCAAGCTAGCCTATCTCTGGAACCAATCCGAATTGGGGCCCCATAGTCGGGGGACACGGGTGCCTCCTAGTGGTCCCCACACACCCCGAGTATGGAGTCCCAACTCGGCTTACTTTTCCAGTTACACCTGGTCAAATATTAAAAATCAAGCTGTTATATCTCTGGAACAGAGTCGAGTTGGGGCCCCATACTCTGGGCACACGGGTGCCTCCTAGTGGTCCCGATACACCCCGAGTATGGAGTCCCAACTCGGCTTACTTTTCCAGTTACACCTGGTCAAATATTAAAAATCAAGCTGTTATATCTCTGGAACAGAGTCGAGTTGGGGCCCCATACTCTGGGCACAGGGGGGTCTCCTAGTAGTCCCCACACACCCTAAGTATGGAGTCCCAACTCGACTTACTTTTCCACTTACGCCTGGTCAAATATAAAAAAACAAGCTGTTATATCTCTGGAACAGAGTCGAGTTGGGGCCCCATACTCTGGGCACAGGGGGGTCTCCTAGTGGTCCCCACACACCCCGAGTATGGAGTCCCAACTCGGCTTACTTTTTCAGTTACACCTGGTCAAATTTCATGGCTGAAAAAGTCAGTCTTGGGGTTATGGTTAGGGAAAATTTTTGCCTTCGCTCAAGAGTATGTCATATGTCGCTCGGGGAGGGCCAAGGGGTCGGCTTGCTGAATTTGGGGCCCCTGGGACATTTCTGTAAAAATCCCACTCGCCCATTAAATGAATGTATTTTCCGATAGTGGTTTCGCGGACACCTCTTTGAAATGGCCGATCGACTAGGGGCGCCGTTTTCCGTCTCGCCACGGCCCCCTGGTGCGGCCGGAAAAGTTTGGTGGCCCTGGGACCTCGTTCAGTGGTCGAAAGGTCGAAAAAGGGACGCTCGTCCGCAAACCCGCTACGCCGATAAGTGCCCCGTGGGACGGCCCCCGTACGTAGACGCAGGGTCGTGGTACATTGAGATTTGAGATTTTGACCCTCCAGGGGCCCCTGATGCACGGCCCCGAAGCGTGAAAAACTAGAACCTTCCTGAAAGAAGTGTGCCACTTATACCCAACTTTCACTCAAAAGGCTCTTAGGGTACATGAGTCAAAGAGACTATAAGGCCGAAATTAGGGTTAAAGGGTGAAAATGTGTTGCCTTCGCTCTAGAGCCCAGCGCTTTTGGTATGTCGCTCGGGGAGGGCCCAAGGGTCAGCTTGCTAAATTTGGGGCCCCTGGTACCTTTCTATCAAAATCCCACTCTGCCATTAAATTAATGTATTTGCCATAGTGGTTTCGCGGACACCGCTTCGCAATGGCTGATCGACTAGGGGGCGCCATTTTCTGTCTCGCCACGGCACCCTGATGCGGGCGGAAAAGTTTGGTGGACCCACGACCTCGTTCAGGGGTCGAAAGGTCAAAAAAGGGACCGGGCGTCCGCCATGAGACAGAGATTAGTGTCAGAGCCTGAAAATGTTTTGCCTTCGCTCAAGAGTCCGGCGCTTTCGGTATGTCGCTCGGGGCGGGACCAGGGTTCACCGTGCCGAATTCGGGGCCCCTGGGACATTTCTATAAGAATCCCACTCGCCCATTAAATTAATGGATTTTTCCATAGTGGTTTCGTGGACACCTCTTCGAAATGGCCGATCGACTAGGGGGCGCCATTTTCCGTCTCGCCACGGCCCCCTGGTCAGGGCGGACAAGTTTGGTGGACCTACGACCTCGTTCAGGGGTCAAAAGGTCGAAAAAGGGTGAAAAATGTTTCTCACTCCATGTTTCTGTGTGTGTGTGTGAATGAATGAACGAATGAATGAATGAACGAACGCACAGATAAGCACTGTTACAGACGAAATAAAAGACAACATTTCGTTGACTAGTTTTGGATAAAGTTTTTACTCTAAAATAGACATCAAATAAGCTTTTGTTGGGAGTTTCTGCTCATATGTTAAATATATAGTATGTTTTGTCAATAAACTAATCAA